GATCCGAAGATCTGAATGTGGTCCCCAAACCACAGATGTCTTAAGTAGTACTTTTTTTCAACCCCTGATTTTCTCACTGGAATGTTTTAAACATTTGCTTTAGAACTGCTACGATTATTAAATACTGTAGATTAATGCACACCAATTACAGGCCAAACTAAATGCTGGTGACAAAGGATTTAGAAATCATGGACCTAATCAAATTTTAAGAAGGACATCTATCTCTAAGAGAAAATTGCGGCTAAGAAAATTGAAACTTCTTTTTTAAAGCACCATTGAAGGAAATGTTCTTTAAAGTGCAAAGTTGCATGCGGCAATTCTTCTTGCACTACTTTCATCTTGCCCTGTTTTACATGTTTTTCCAACATTTTCTTTGTAGCTGTCCTGTAGGAACTTCATTTTTTGTTTATTTTATTCACTTGCGGATTACACTTTATGCAGACTTAGTGGACTATAAGGTGAGTCAAGTCGCCCCACCCCCACCAATGCGTCCGTAAAGCAAGCACATCAGTCGTCATCCCACGCGTTTTGACATAATCACACAAAGATACTGTGTTCTCAAGAAGTTTCTGACCTTCTGTCCATTTGTTGGCTGGTTGCCCTGAAGGAAAGAAAGGAAGGGAAATGAAAATTTGTCACCGTTGGAATGTCGATTTTTTTTTCACTTTCTTGGTTGGGATCTTTTGACTTTCTTCTTTTCATGAAGTTGATGGTGCAGTATTGCTCTCCGTTTCTTTGACATCAACCATTTTTGCTGAAGGACAACGGAGTGAATTCCCTGTTTAAGGAATTTTCAGTCAATAAGAAAAGTTTATGAGGTGTTGAGCTTCGCATGCTAACTTTTAAAGTGTACTGCTGAACAGCTTTCCTCTGCGTTAACTAGATTTCAGCAAACTGTCTTAGTTATAGACCTAGAGTAAAAGTGAAAATAAGCTTTAAGTTGAGATTTTAACTGAGTAATCAGAACCATACATTTTTATAAGAATCAATTTTAATTTGTCTGCGCCTCTTTCAGAACAGTGTCACAGAATATAGTGGCATTCTTTGCTTAAGGAGTTATTTATACATCACAGCTCTATCGTATTTGAACACTGGACGTACACCGTATAAAAACAGTAGTTCAGTCGGTTGAACGTCAGACTCAGAACCGACAGGTGGTCCATAGTTCGTGACCCAGGTCAGGTGACTAGCCTTGATTTTGAGGTTGGTAAATGAGAATTACTCTGTGGGAAGGAAACAGGAGACTACATGTTATGTTTGCCATGTAACTGCTTCGATTCAGCTTTTAAAATAATGCATTCCTAGTTGATGACATGGAAATAAAAATCAATGTCCCACCATCAATTTCTTGGGAAGAAGGGCGTTAGAAATGGCCAATCATTGAAGTGTAAGAAAGACCGGCGTTGCAACGTTTAAGAACTTTAGATGCATATGACATTTTTTGGATGGTGCAAAGCCTTGCAAGTCACAAATATTAGTAGAGGAGTCAGTCTCGCAGTATGTTTTTTGAAAACGTCGGTTCAGTGATCTACGAATAAACGAATGATGCCATGTGCGTGAACCCAGTTTTGGAGGAATGTTCGCTTATAGACATCTTTTTTTAATTCGAAGTTAATCTTTACGCTTGTTTTTTAAACAGCTCTCAATACCTTCTCTAAGGCAGTCAGCCAATCTTTGGTCTTATAAAATTAATCACCGTTTTCAAGCCGTCCTGTAGATTTTTAGCACTTTTTTGAAATCTTCCATTACAACGGTTATTGCGGCTGTAGGTTTAACGTGTTTAGACCATTTACAAATTAGCATGCTAATTGGTTAAACATGTTCTGTGCAAGAATGATTTTTGTCATTTTTAGCAAGGACAGCAGTGACAGCGATTCTGAAGATCCAGAGAAGAAAAAACTTCAAGATCGTCTGATGGGTGTGTATACCGTATTCAAAAGTTATTCAGAAGATTTCTCCATAATCGATGTCCCTATCATGTTGCTACTAAAAATTTATTTTCTCAGCAAATGAACTTTTGCTTGACATCCCTTATGCCCTGTAAGGCAATGCAGCTGTAATCGGTACAGTAGCTTTACTTCCTCTGCCGAGAGGGTGGGGAGGGTTGAGCGTCTTAAGCAACTAGGAGCAGTCTTGGCAAAATACGGTCGCTGTTTTGCTGAAATGAGCCGACTTGTTGCTTTGGCATATATTAATTTCGAGAAGTTTTGCGCGAAACATGTGAAGTCGTGAGTAGGTGTTCCTCCAACTTCCAGGTCATGCCACCACTTTCCTGGCTTCGACCCACGGGCTGTTTGAATCATGCATTTATTTTTCTTACAGGGTTATGTCTCCAAGCATGAATCGGAAGCCCCAGAGTGAGAGCGGAGCATCTGAACCAGTTTTTGAAAGGGACAACGAACTTTTATATGATGAATTGCTAAAAGAATTAGTCATTTCA